TGAGTTGGGGTTGGCTTGGGGTGAGTTTGGCTGGCTTGGATCTTGACGAAGGCGGGTCTTAGCCTGGTTTGGGGTTCATTTGGGCTTGGCGATGGGCTAATATCAAGGACGATGTTGGGTGTGTTTAGAGCAGCGGCGATGTGGTCACTTACGCTGCCCCAAAAATTAAATTAATTCGCCAAATCTCCAAAGCAGCCTTAAAGTTCCAACCTGGTCCAGGTGATGTGGATGTTGCCAGCATGCAAGGCCTGACCTAAAGCTAGACCCAACATAAATAGCATAACCAACACCATAGTTGTATGCATTAACAACCATTTACTAGGTTAATAGCATAAATAGCAACATAGCAAGCTAGTCCCCAAGTTGGGTTGGATTCAAAAGAACTTTGGACGCGTCGACGGTGGGCGCCCTGAAGGCATGCTGAAGCGCTGGGATCTTCAGGACCAGGCGGCTCGCTTCGTGCAGAAAATGCACGGCCGCCGCGAGGCCTGAGTTCTTCTCTTTTTTTTGGACGCATTTTTTGCTCGCACCCTTTTTTCGGGGTCCGTCATTTTGAGACAAGCCCATGTAGCCCGGCTGTTTTGACTTGGTTTCTCAGCGTTGGAGGGTTCTGTTGACAGTGTAGGGAGGTATCAGCTTGTCTTGTGTGGACACACACTTTGTCAAGAAAGGCTCCTTTCTTGAATGTATAGTGGCAGCAAGGCTTGGGAGAATTGAAGAACTTGTTTGTTTGTTCCAGGGCTTCGAAGACGCGTACGACCTCGGCACTTCCTCCACCCAAAGGTGTGACACCAGCAGGAGCGCGACCGGAACTTCAAAAACTTTTTTTTGGCCGAGTTTGTCCCTTGTTCAGAATTAGGGACTCGAGGTGGTTGGATTCCGTAAGGGATTTGTGTTGAGACACCGCTGAAGCGGGGCATCAAATTTGTGGTCCAGGCCGGCGACCGGCGGAGTGCCAGGATCTTAGCCCAATGCAGGAGGAGTTTTGGTACGGTGTGTAGAGCATTTTTATCATTTATTTCATCATCTATGCTTTTTGTATGGCAGTCCTTTTGTTTCTAGACGTGGCATTTGATGTGGTGCTCCAGATTGGGGCAAACTTTGGCGTGCGTTTTCGGGATGGGGCCGAGACCAGCAGATGGGCAATTCTGGAGTGTGCTAGCAGATGCCGATCCTGATCCAGAGCCTTGGCATATGGATCCGGTTAGTGATGTCAAGGGTATGCGATCCAAACCCTGCCCCAAGCTTCGAACTTGCACAAAGCCGAAGGTGTAAAACCGGACGTAGACACATGACTGCGCTACTTGTTTTTTTCAGGAAGGCCAAGGGCTGGTGTTGGGCCTGGTTGGAGAGCTTTCTCCCATTGTTTTTGGACGAGTCGGGCTGGAGCGGCCTGCGACTGAGGGGCGAGTGGGCAAAAGCATGAGCTGGGCAGCCTTTTCAGCTGCTCGGCAGGCATCTTGGTACACTCTCTTGGAGTTGGACCAGGGGGCTGATTGGCTTGGAATCAGACCCAAGCGCATCTAAAGAGGACATGCTTCTCTATGGAGGGATGCCAAACTCTGTGAGCTAACTCGACGTTTGGGAAGGAGTGCAGCTTGTTTGAATGAGGACTCTTTGTGGGATTCAGATGACGACCGGCTCTCCGGCCAGTTTCCCTTGCCGAGATTGATGCTTGGCTGAAAGCAACCCCCAAACCCTGGCTATCTGCGAATGCGTGGCCCGCAACCGAGGAAGGGGGTCCGCTTCACGACCGAGGCAGAGATGCCTTAGGGAGAGAGTCGAGTGCAGAGGTGAAGCCGGTCTTCGGAAAGTTTTGGCCTCAAAGCTCACTTCCGATGTTTTTGCTTCAACTAGCGGATGTCTTGTTATGCAAGTCTGGGAGCCAGGGCTTTGGCATTCAGTTCGAGGAGACGGCTGGAGCTGCGAGCCTTGGAGAAGACTGGTCGACTTGAAGAAATCCCTTTTGGCAAGAGAGGCCACACGATGCGCACTGCTGGTGGGCGCGAAGCATTTTTTGTTTTGTTTTGCCGTTCTTTCTAGTCACCCGACATGTTTAGCGGCAACGGGACTCTTTCTGGCTGTGCCTGGAGCATCCTGAGGATGGCCCTGGCGCATTACCTGGCTGAGCACTCCGCCGGCAGCGAGCCGGACTTCAAGCGCCAGCGGCAACCTTAGACTCGCCCGTCGGGCGACATGACGTGCTATGCGGGTCCTTTGAAGCAACGCCTGTTGTCAGAACCCCTGTGATTGGACAGTTCAGGGTTCCCGTTGACAGTACCCTAAATATGCGCCCCAAGGAGTTGACATATTTGTGAGAAGCATTCGTTGCAATGTGTGGTGGCATTTGTGCATATACTAAGTCGCATCTTGCCCCCTGCATATTAGTTCTTGCCCCCTGCATATTAGTTCGTTGCATATATGTGTGTTGGATGCCTGGCCGCCGAGGGAGGGTGTTACCATTTCTAGGGTTCATCCTAGGGTCCCTTTCAGCAATGTACGATTAGCCTTTTGTACGACACTCCGACCCTGTACACGCCTCTACGGTGTGTTTTTCCTAGCTTCAAAAGTAAGAAATGATGGTGGCATGACCAGCTGCCACAGCCTTGCGTGTGCATGTTGTGTCAAAATGTTCAAGATGAATGGCCGCAGCCTTGCAGCATGCATACTGCCCGCGGGAGTGTGCAGCACCACCCCCCCCACTACCTGCACTAATTGCCACAATGTTGCACGTGCGTACTGTGCGATCATGTTCAGTGCCAATTGCCATAGCCTTGTGTGGGAGCCCTGTCAGCGGGTCAAGTTCCAGGATGGGCTGCGTGCGATCTTGCCTCTCCAGCTGCAAAACCTTCGCCTCTTTCAACGGCGCAGGCCAAAACGAGCATTGAGCTGCATAAGTCCGGGTTGCCCCTCTGGACAAGGGAAACTTGGATGCGCAGACATCCAACATCCAGTTCTCGCTGGATGAATCGCCTCTGCAGAGAACCCCGTTTCGCACGCGTTCGTCGGACTGTGCGCGCGCCTTAGCGTAAAAAGCGCTCCCGCTCAATTGCAAGCGCGTTGTAGAAGAGGGCTCGCCACTTATATGCTGAGTGCCCCTCTCAACCATGCACGGCTCCTCACTTGCTCAACGCAGGCACGCTGTAGCTGCAAACCTGCCCCCAAATGACAAGAACGGCGGCTTCGCTGCGCGCGCCTTGTAGGTGCAAACTGGTGCTGCGCACTGCCTTTGGGCCGCAGCGAATAATTTCTACTGGCAGTTTAATTTGCTGACAGTCGTTGGCAAAAGCGAGCCAGATCCATCCCGGGTATGGCGCCAAACACACACACACAATAATGCTATATATATATATAGGTCACATGTACGAATACGCCTAACAGCAGAAGGACAACTACGTACCAGGCGTGACATGTCGACATGCATGGCATGTCTACAGCGGCAGCTGGGCAAATATGACCTTCCAGGGCTGCGCAAGAGACACGCGAGATTCTGTGCACGAGCTAGGTTGCAGTACCGCCTGAACATCTCTCGAGCCTCCCTGAGATCTGTTTTGGCAACCTACAAGGCTGTGCCTGCATCAGCCCGAGCCCCAGTTGACCACAGCGATTTTGCAACTGGCCCCAAGCACCTGCCTGATTTGGAGTGAAGTCGGTTGTCTTGTGTGATTTTAATCCAAACGAAGACTGGTTTGTCTGGCAGCCTACCTGTAGAGCTTTTGGTGATGCTCAGGTACGCGGGGGCAACGGCATCGCATATGAGCAGCGCTTGAGCTGCACTTCAGTCGCGCGATGGGTTTGGACTAGCGAACCACAGTGGGCTGGAACAGCCAACGTTTTGTTTTGGCCTTCCTGAGGCACAACCCCTACCAGGTCTTCCCGGGTGGATCTGATACCGGACTGGGCTTCACATATCATCGGCCACTTGGCTTGGCTTTCACTGCTGAACAGCTGCCAAAGTTTTTGCAAGGATGATCCACATTGCTAGTACAGCCTGGACGGGGCTTTTCATGCTCTTTCAGACCGACGAGCGTGATGAGATTTGGCCGTATCTTGACTGGAGCAGAACGTGGCACATGTGTTGCGTTGCGGGAAGTCTGCCTTGCCAGTCTGTGTTTCCACTGGACAGCACCACAATTTTCCGTACCTCCGATGGCTTTTGGAGGTCGGCCAACCCTCTGACGCTGCACGCGGAGGTGTTGCCACAACCCAACACCTTTTGCATGCCACGGCAGGCTGGGCCCAGCGAGTGAAGCCAAGTGCAACTGCCTTTGCGCAAGGAACAGCCTGATGCTGCCATCACTGCAGGGAGTTGCCGGGAGAGGTGAGCTTCGCGCTCGCTGGTGGAGGATTTCTAGTCTGTGGACTCTTGAATGATGTGTTGATGTGAATGTGGCTCAAAAATTGGGGTCCCCCCCCAACCACGGTTGGTAGGAACCACATCACACTGTGATCTGAGCCACACCCACGTGTGGCTTCTATTGCTGGATTTGGCCAGTTGCTGTAGATCGTTCATTCAACTTTGTTATTGCGACGATGGAGTGCATTCAACAGTGGTTTTCCGGCAGGTCTCAACAAGAGATCTGCGCATAGCTTTGGCTGCACGATCCGAGTCAACTGGTGGAATGGACTAAGCAACTGAGAACCCTACCATCAGTTTGGGGAGACATCCGACCTGATTCCTCCAATGCCTGCGGGCCAGCATGGGCGCCTTTGTCTCGATGCTGGTGCCCGCGAAGCTGCGCACGCATCTCGAAGGCGTTCAAGGGGCAAGGTTCACGCACCAAGTCGCTGGTGTGAAATTGGGCATGTACCATCATCCAATATCAGTTGAATGAATAAGGACAGTGGCTTAGAAGCCAAGGCCACAGGTGTCCGAATGTTTCACCAGCTTACGGGCAGCAGCACAAAGATTGCACTCCTGAAAAAATGCGGGCCGCACGGGAGAATGAGAAGAGTGTGGAGGATCGACATTTGGTCCCCTGGCAACACACATCGTTCAGGTGGATGACGAGTTGCAGCTTAGCCTCAGTCGTTTGGACGGCAGTGTCCGGGCCCCTGGTCGGCGTGGCTTTTTGAGGGAATTGCTCTTTTGTATGGGAGATCAAAATCAACGGCATTTTTTGCGTTTCCCTGTCTAGAGACCGACTCCATTGGTCCAAGGTTTTGACGAGTGTATGCCTGCATTGTGGAGAGTCTGTGCCTTGTACTTGGGTTCTCCAAGGTGCTTGCCTTGTGCCACATGCAGCAGGAGAAGGTGCCGTGCTGTAGCGATTCCCACCCCGTTAGGATACAGTATCTGGGAAGCCCCATTTTAGCATCAAGCAGCCTGAGAGAAAAGGTTGCTGCCCCTGACAAGGGTTATGAGCTCAACCCGGTGACCCTTGCGCCATGAACGCGGGGATGGCCAAGAGCGCAGACGCGGGGATCATGGCTGGAAGGCGAGGTGGAGCCGCAAGATGATCATGATCTACCTCGGGGCGCAGCAGAGGGAGAAGCTCTAGGTAGGGTGGCAGTAAGCCCGTTCTGGAGCCGAAGGGCGCAGGATGAGGCGGTGCTCAGAGCGAGCCGGCCGAGTGGGTTGCAGCCAATGCCGGGGACGGACGAGAAGTTGGATGAACAAGGAACTCTTCATGGAGAACGACCTGGCGAGGGCGGTGAACCAGTTGATGGGCGTGATCAGCAGATCGGTTTGCGCCCTGAGATGGAGTCCAGCCAGGCGAATTGTGAGGAGTTCTGGAGCGAGCGGCTATGGCGAACGGAGGAGGTGATCCTCGCCCGGATGATGTCCGTAGATCCGAGCTGGACGAGACCTACGCCCTGGAGGAGGACGTGGAATTGGAGGTGATGGAGCTCTACTACGTGGAAGCGGAAATGAGCTATCTGCTGGAGAAGAACCGGGAAGAGGCGCGGGCAGAGAAGGGGAAGACCGGTGGAACGTGCAGGAGGGTGGAGCCGCAGTTTGCAAGGCCTGGTGAAGGGCATGACGGACTACGTGCGCGGCAAGAGCCTCGACAAGTCCGTGGACAAGATCGATCGGTACATGGTCATGTTCCGACTGAAGCAGAAGCTGAACCAGAGCTATCAAAGGCTGTGGGAATTCGTCAAGAAAATGGACTTGGGAAGGCAGAGGTTTGGACTTGGATTGGATCTGGAACGATGAGCGCAAGGTGTAGAACTTGGAGGGTGGATGCTGATGAGGAGCTCATTTGTGAGATGGACCTGTTCGAGGACATGGAGCGGAACTATGGAAAAGCCTGCCGGAAGCTGCTGGGAATGGAAAAGCAGCGCGAGTACCTCTTCAGCCTGATTGATGAGCTGAGAGAGCGAGTGAGGAAGGAGCAGAAGGCCGAGCGAGGGAAGCAGGCAGATGAGGTTCGTGACTCCGGCGGCGGAGGTGTTTGAAACACCGATGGATCAGATAGCCATTCCACCACCATCACCACCACCGCCACCGCTGCCAGTGGTGACGCCCACATCGAGAACTATGAGCGCACCGAGAACACGTGCACGGTCACCTGCCAGGGAGCAGCAATGGACCCCAGGTGGAATGAGAGTTCCGGATGGCAAGCCGTCGCAGGAGGTGAATGCTGTTGGGTACCACGCCCGCGTTGCAGAGCATTCGGAGCTACTCGGAACTGCTGCTCGCGGAGATGGACGCAGCGAGGTTGATGAGCGTGGAGCCAGGGTGAAGGCAATGGTCACAGGTGCGACGGCGGAGAAGCCCGCTGCGGAGGCCCATGCGAAAAGGGAAACGGGGACGGTGGTTTGCAGGTACTTTGGATCCGAGCAGGCCTGCCGGTTGGGAAAAGGTGCAGATGGACCACGAACGCCAGGTGCTGGATTTGCGGTTCAAAGCAGCATCGCCGAGCGGATTGCCCGGTGAAGGGCAACGGAAAAGGACTGTCAGAGCCGCAGCTAACGAGCCGAGAGACGGCTTGGGACAACAAAGGAAAGGGTCTATCGATGACCCAGATGAGGAAGGCCTACTACATGCAGAATGAGATCGAGAGGGGTGTGTAGTTTTGCGAGAGGCGGTAAAAAAACAATTTGTGCCAGGGCAGCCCGTCAGGATACATATCCGGGAAGCCCCATTTTAGCATCAAGCAGCCTGAGAGAAAAGGTTGCTGCCCCTGACAAGCCCACAGTTGCTTTGCGACGATCGGCTGCATTTTCAGGAGACAGGGCGCCACTGCTGCCATATTTTCCAGGGCGGAATCAGCCTATTTGCCTCCATGGCGTGGGAAGACGCGCAGGCAGGATGCCACGGCTTTTCTCTCACATGTGCGACCCAAGATTGCTTGGCTGCGGATCAGCTCACGTTCGCGGGCTCGCAGTCTCTTGCGCATGTTGCAGGCCTCATGGTTCTCGCGAGCTTCCGTGTTGTGCTCAGTCACGCTTCGCATCTATCGCCCCTGAATGATATGTCGCCGTTTTGGGGGCAGCGCGTCAGCCGACGCAGGCGGAGGAAGGTGCCTTCGTCGTCCGCAGCGAAACCTCTCAGACTTTGATGCGGGCCCATGTCTCAGAAGCTCTTGTGGGCCCAGCATGTCGCGAACGTTGATGCACAGCTTGTTTGCCGAGGTCTCTGCAAGCAACGGCTGCAGACTGAGGTCTAGGGTCTGTGTCGGCTGCTTTGTTGCTCAATGAGGAACGCCTCTAGTACTCCGAGACGGTCTCGGGAGACCCGTGGCTGAAGTGCAGAGGCGAAGCTCAGTTTGGCGGAAAAAGCACCTGCCTTTTGCTCTGCCAGGAGTGAGCACCCGGCCACCTTGCGCATTGAGGCATGTGTGTGTGCGCGTGTGTGTGGCGAAGTGTTGGGGAGCCCCTCATGCCTTCCAGCTTGAGGTGAACTCCGAGAGCAGCACTGACCTGGGGCTGGTAACAGCAGCGGCGCTTTTCGTGGATAGCTTGCAGAGTGCCTCTCTGTGACTCTGGCCTTGGCCTGCTCGGAAACTCGGTGGGCGGTTTGGCGGTTTGTGCGCTGCCGGGCTAGCGCACCCACTTTCCCCACGCCGATGTCCAAGCGACGATTTTCTCCAGCGGCAGGTAAAATACGATGTGCTATCGGAAGGAGCTCCTGCCAATTTGTGTGCCATGCGGATCCGGATGGACGATTCCGAGCCCTTGAGTACGATTGTTTTTGACATCCTTGAGTTCTTACTGATCTTGGAATCGGGCAACCATGAGCATTCCCACGGATTTTGAGAAGTTCGTTGCACATGCGACAAGTTCAGCGGCCGTGTGCTGAGGTGCAACTAGCCAATGAAACAAGTCATGGCAAAGCTTCGTTGTTCAATCTTGTTGCTTCACAACACATCATGCACAGGCGTTCAGGCTAACGCTTTGGTGGTTTCAAACCAAAACCACAGGCCAGGAGTAAGAATCATTCTCATTCAGATCAGAGAGGCTCTGAGCGCTCTTGTATGCATTTTTTGCGAGGGATCGGAGAGTGATCTCTGCCGCATTTGCTGATACTTGGGGCCTGGCTTCGCGCGCCATGTGTGCGCCCCTTGGCCAGCAATGCTGCGGTGTTTGGCCCGGGCCTAACTTGGTGCGTGCGCGCGCGTGCGTGGGAGCTCATGGCGCTTTCCCAGGTGCCAGCAGAAGCCACGGCTTTGATCGTGGGGGATGACGGCGCTATTGTGCGCCGTCAGTGCTACAGAGGCGAGGCGGGACCGCAAGCGTTAGCTGAGGCGGAGCAGATTGCGGAGGAGCCGGGTGCCGAACAAAACCGAGCGACTTGCAGCTGCAACTGGGGGGAGCGGGCAGAGAGTGCTTGGCAAGGTCTGGGGCTCACGTAACCGTCTCAGATGCGCGGAGCTTACAGCGCTCGCTGCGCTGAGACGAGTGGAGTTTGCGTTTGCTGGAGGACGGTGACACTCCCTCAGGGCTGAGTGACCGCATTGTCTCAATCATTGGCAGCCAAGACCAGCGGCAGGCGTGTCCTGCACCTCTCCCATTGCAACTGTCAAGAGTCAAAATCACAGACCTCTTTTTGGGCCTCATCAGAAGGCAGCGCGGCCCTTCCCTTTGTTAGACTACAGTTGACTTGAGCAGATGTTTTTTTACTTCTGGAAATGAAGGAGCTTACGGGGAACTGCCTTGGTGCCCGCGTATCCTAGTGCTCAGACCGCACAGCTTCCGCATAGCCACTTGCAGCCAACAACCAACAACCAGCAACCAACAACCAACAACCAACAACCAACAACCAACCAACAACCAACAACCAACAACCAACAACCAACAACCACAACAACCAACAACCACAACAAACAACAACCAACCACCAACAAAAAACAACCCCAACAACCAACAACCAACAACCAACAACCAACAACCAACAACCAACAACCAACAACCAACAACCAACAACAACCAACAACAACCAACAACAACCGACAACCAACAACCAACAACCGACAACCACAACAACCAACAACCAACAACCGACAACCAACAACCAACAAGCACAACAACCAACAACCACAACAACCAACAACCGCGACAACCAACAACCAACAACCAACAAAAAACCACAACAACCAAGAACCAACAACAACCAACAACCAACCACCAACAACCAACAACCAGCAACCAACAACCAACAACCAAGAACCAAGAACCACGGACGCGAAGAACAAGAAGAACAAGAAGAACAAGAATAACAAAAAGAACAAGCAGAACAAGAAGAACAAGAAGCACAAGAAGAACAAGAAGAACAAGAATAACAAGAAGCACAAGAAGAAGAAGAAGAGCAGGAAGAAGAAGAAAGAAGAAGAAGAAGAAAGAAGAAGAAGAAGAGGAGGAAGAAGAGGAAGAAGAGGAACAAGAAGAACAAGAAGAACAAGAAGAAGAGGAAGAACAAGAATAACAGGAAGAACAAGAAGAACAAGAAGAACAAGAAGAACAAGAAGATCAAGAAGAACAAGAAGCGCAAGAAGAACAAGAGGAAAAACAGCAGCAGCAGCAGCAGCCGCCCCAGCAGCCCCAGCAGCCCTAGCAGCCCCAGCAGCCCCAGCAGCACCAGCAGCACCAGCAGCACCAGCAGCACCAACAGCACCAGCACGACCAGCAGCCCCAGCAGCCCCAGCAGCACCAGCAGCGCCAGCAGCACCAGCAGCACCAGCACGACCAGCAGCACCAGCAGCACCAGCGCGAGCAGCACCAGCAGCACCAGCAGCACCAGCAGCACCAGCAGGATCAGACGGCGCCAGACAGCAGAAGCAGCAACAACCGCAACCGCAACTGCAACCGCAACCGCAACCCAAACCACAACAACCGCGACAACAACAACAACAAAGGCGGCAGCAACAACAACACTAGCAACAACAACAACAATAACAGCAACAAGAACACGAGCAAGACCAAGAACATGAACATAAACATGAACCAGAACAAAAAAAGAGCAACAGCAAAAGCAACAGCAGCAGCAACAGCAACAGCAACAGCAATAGCAGCAACAACAACAACACTAACAACACCAACAACACCAACGACACCAACAACCGCAACAACCAAAACAACACCAACAACCGCAACAGCCAGAACAACAACAACAACCGCGACAACAACAACACCAACAACAACAGCAACAACAACAACAGCAACAACAAGAACATCAACAACAGCAACAACAACAGCAACAACGACAACAACAACAGCGACACCGAGCGCAACAACAACAAACAACAACAACAACAGCAACTGCAACAGCAACAGCAACAACAAGAACAAGAACAAGAACAAGAACGTGGACATGAACATGAACAAGAACAAGAACAGCAACAGCAGCAGCAACAGCAACTGCAAAAGCAACCGCAACAGCAGCAACAACAGCAGCAACAACACCAAGACCAACACCAACGCCAACACCAACAGCAACAACAAAAGCAACAACAACAGCAGCAACAAGCGCAGCAACAACGACAGCAAGAACCGCAGCAAGAACCGTAGCAACAGCAGCAACAACAACAGCAACAACAGCAACAACTGCAGCAGCAGCTACACCAGCAACGACAGCAACAACAGCAAAAACGGCAACAACCGGCAACAGCAACAGCAACGGCAACGGCAACAGCAACAGCAACAACAAGAACAAGAACAAGAACGTGAACATGAACATGAACAAGAGCAAGAACAAGAACAGCAACAGCAACAGCAACTGCAAAAGCAACAGAAAAGCAACAAAACACCAGCACCACCAACACCAACACCACGACCAACACCAACGCCAACACCAACAGCAACAACACAAGTAACAACAACAGCAGCAACAACAGCAGCGACAACGACAGCAAGAACCACAGCTAGAACCATAGCAACAGCAGCAACAACAACAGCAACAACAGCAACAACAGCATCAACAGCTACACCAGCAACGACAGCAACAACAGCAACAACGGCAACAACAGCAACAACAGCAGCAACAGCAACAACAGTTACGCCAGCAACAACAGCAGCAACAACAGCAACAACCGCAACAGCAGCAACAACAGCGACAGCAACAGCAACAGCAACAGTAACAGCAACAGCGCAACAACAACAGCAACAACAGCAACAACAGTAACAACCGCAACAACAACCACAACAAGAACAAGAACAAGAACAAGAGCAAGAACAAGAACAAGACCTACAACTACAACTACGACAACAGCTGCAACTACAACTACAATTGCAACTACAACTGCTACCTGCTGCCACTGCAAGTACCACTGCCACCACCCCTACTACCCCGACCACCCCACTAGGGCTGCCCGTGATGCCCCTACTACACTACTTCTGCTACTACTACCGCTACAACTACGACTACTACGCCTGCTGCTGCTGCTATTAGTGCTACTGCTACTAATTCCACTACTACTACTACTACTACCACTACTACTACTACTACTACTACTACTACTACTACTACTACTACCGCTACCACCTGTACTGGTACTGCTGCCACTACTGATACTGCTACTGCTACTGCTACTGCTACTGCTACTGCTAGTACTACTACTACTACTACAACAACAACAACAACAACTACTACTACTACTACTACTACTGTTGCCACCGCCACCACCACAGCCAGAAGTAGTAGCAAAAGTCGGTGCAGCAGTAGCAGTAGTAGCAGTAGTAGCAGCAGCAGCAGTAGTAGGAGTAGGAGTGGGAGCAGGAGTAGTAGCAGCGGCAGTAGCAGGAGTGGTGGTAGAAGTAGCGATGTGGCAGTAGGAGTGTAGCAGTAGTAGCCGTAGTAGCAGCAGCAGTAGCAGTAGCAGGCCGCTGCTGTAGCTACCTGCTGCCACTACTTCCCTCTATTATTTGTGTAGCTCCCTCGTAGCCCCCGCGTAACCCCGGCAGGCCAACTTCTTAGGGGAAATCCGCGTACGCCTCCCGTTTGCCTCTCCGCAGGCTGCTTGCCGCAGGATCCTCGAGTGCCTCTATGGTGCCCAAGAGGTTTGGACGCTTCAAGAGCAAAAAATCGCTGTCGGGAGTTGCCAGGTGGAAAGCGGTGAGCAGGGCATTTTCGTTTTGCTGGTCGATCAAGATTCCATGGGTGCAGAAGGTGGGGCATTGACAGGCTGGCTGCATTCCGGATTCTCGTTTCAGGCCTACAGAGAGCCAGGGACGTCTCGGGAGCTGAGATCCACGAAGAAGCGGTGCTATCCCCAAGATCCGCAAGCAAAAGGATGGTTTGCCACACAGCTGAGGATGATATCCCCGGCACCGACGCTCGTGTGATCCAAATCGCGGGGCTGGCATGTGTTTTTGCCAGGGAGGCCTTCAGTCAAGCTGTATGCATGTGGGCCGAATTCCTGGTTGCGTGGGCAGAGAGGTTGTCAACTTGAAAGCGGAATGTTGGATTTGACAAAGTCAACTCGATTCTGGGTTTTTTGATGGACCCATGACCATCACTCTCCCCACGAGAGCAATACGGGGTCGATTTGTTGTGCCATTGTACACTGGTCAGACAAATTTGGGCTGCGGCTTTTCTGCTGCTCGCCAGGTGGGTGGCCTGGAGGCAACGCTGGTGGCGGTGAAAGAGCTGAGCCAGGCAGTTTTCGGATCACCGAAATTTAAGGAAGGGGAACTCAGATTTTGGGTTGTCCCTTCTTTCTAAGGGAATTCCAGACCGATGTTTTGAGCCTCATTCCCCACACGGGCGGTGCAGGCCAAGGCTCGTAGACCAGAGGTCCAGGAGGCCAAGCAGGCCTGAAAGACGTAGAATGGGCGCGTATATCCTGGTGTTTTGCGACAAGTGTTGAAATTGATGTTGCACAGCCTTGGACCAACTAAGTCTTTCGAAACAGCTGCGTCATCACATCAGCCCTCAATGGCTCCCAGATAGCGTTCCCGTGAATGCGCACGCCGCCATGTTGGCATTGGCATTCACCCTTTAGAGAACTCTTTCAGTCCACTGAGTCTTTACGTGACCGTGGACGCTACCATTTTGGCATGGGTGTTTACCCTGAGCAAAAAAAAGAAATAAACACGGGATGGACATCGTGAACACACTTGATGGAGGGCAACAACTCGATATTTCTTATTGGGTGGTTCTACCTAGTATGAGTTTAAGGTCCAAACATAAGCCTTTATCATCTTAGAGCCAAACATCAAGGTTCGAACGCTCATTAAGGATTGATTGGGGATTTTCCTGAACCAAAGCAAGCTTGCTGACAGAAGCGCAGGAAGAAGAAGAAGAAGAAGCGCTGCTCAAAGAAGCAGCCAGTTTCCAGCAAGCCATGGGGTTCTGGAAAGCGAAAGAAGAAGGGATGTCTGAAGATGGGAGGGAGGAGCAGGCAGAAGCAAAAGCAGCCAAAGCCGCGCTGTTGCATGCACCTGTTGATGGACCAGGTGATACCCAATCAGAGCTCAAAGAGCAGCCTGTAGATAGCACCATTCCAGACAATGCAGAGCCTGATGCAGAAGGCAAAGAAACGGAACGTGATTTCGTTACAGAGGAGTTTCTGGAGGAGCCAGCGGCAGAGGTAGCCGAGGACTTTGTGGAGGAACCAGCAGCCGAGACTGAGTTTCCTGAGCCAGCAGCCGAGACTGATGAGTTTCTGGAGGAGCCGGCAGAGGAGGTCTTGGACGAGTCTGCAGAAGAAATCTTGGAAGGTGAGCCAGCAGAAGAAGCGGCGCCCGTGAAGCAAGCCCCGCGCAGTTCTCCCAGCGCCAAAGTCAGCACTGGAAGACAGGCAGGGATGAAAGGGAAGGACTGAAGCGGACAATGTGGGGATAATTTGGCTGTGACTCCAGAACTGGTGGGTATACATAAAACAATCAATTCTGAATGTAAATGATAAAAAAATTATCACAACTCCTGCCCATGCGTGTTGTCCATTGCCTTTAAGCTGCTGCAACTTGAGCTCTAGTTTCACCTGTGATTCAGTCATTCAGGGTGAGAGATGGTGATCGCCCTCGCATCAGATTGACTATGAATCTGCACATTGGGTGTGCCTTTGTGTTTTCGTCCCCCCAGCCGGGCCCGCGCAAACCCGCGCGCGCCAGTCCGCCTGCTTTGCGGTGGCTCCTGCCGTGGCCGCCTGGGTGGTGGGCCGCAGAGGGCAGCAGCTCGGCGTCGGTTTCTCGAAAAGCGCGTCCCTCTACGCGTGGGTTACCCAACAAAAGTTGCGCTCAGGTACAAGCGGAAAACAAAGGAATCAGGTTACCTCTGTGTGTCAGGCACCCACACGTGAGCACGTGTGCGGAAAGCCGCTCCACGTCAAGTACGAACAGAAAACAAACGCCGCACTTTGCAAAGAGCTGTTGATATAGGCAAGCAACTTGAAAGGAAGAAACACTTCCCAAAATCGGTTGCAAATGAGCACCACTTCTGGTTCTAAATTATGAACGTTTTTACAGGCCCTGTTGTAATCCCTGTTCCATAGAACCCCCTTTTCTATGGCCAATGGGCCATTCTCGCATTCTTCCCTCCGGCCTGCAACCATTTCGACGAAGCTGTCCAGAATCAAACCGTATTTTGTTTTGGATGCTGAATGAAGCCCTGCCCTACGTCACGAGATCTGCCATTGAGCGGCAAGATTAAGTATCAACGACCCCCGTAGTTGGAGTCCCTCTGTGTTCAAGAGCCAGAAAGGCGCCCAAACTCAGAGCGCTCCTGTTACTCCGGCAGTTGAGGTCCATCACGGACCTGCGCAGTCGCAGCGGAGCCAAGATCGAGGCAGGGCGCCACCCAAAGAAAGCCGGCTGTGAATCTCATCCGGAAAGAACAAACGATGAAGTCTGAATGGTTGACTTGCACTCCTTGGAAAATTTACAGGTGCGCGCCAAATCCCTTCCCCCCCATCTGGGCCTGGACTGTACCGTGCTCTCAGCGCGCGGATCCGTTCGGCGCACTGGGGTGCGCGTGTGGACTTGCCTTCCCATTGGGCTTGTATGTGTTTGTTTTTCCTGGCGTCACGAGTTGGGAAGGAGATAGCAGAAAGACTTGGATCGCCTTGCCTGGCTCAGGTGTCCAAGGAAGGATCCCCTCGCGTCATAGAGATCCACGGCTCCGCCGAGGCCAGGCCTCAGGCTCGCAGATGCGCAGGAGCGCGCCTTGAGGCGGGGAGCGGCCAGTCTGAGCCGAGGCTGTGTCAAGTGCCATCGAGCTGCTTCTGGAGCAGGCCGTCAACCGGGTCCCAGGGAAGGAAAGGCAAACCGGCAACCCCATTGGAGCAATCAAAACTTGGGATGAAGGTTTAGTACGAGACAGTCCCAGCCATGCACAGACGCGGATTCGGGATGGATGGACAGCTTACTATTGCTCTCGATGGACCAGCGTTTAGCATTTCTCCCGGTCCTTCCCACGGGTGTTCCATGGGTGCCATGTAGGTTCCCCGCAGGCTCCCCACATTCACATGTTTCCAATTCCTTGGATCCTTTGCAGGTTCCCATAGGTTCTGCTTAGATGCCTGGGAATTCCCGGTTCTGTACCAGGGACAAGTCAAGCGGACAGGGGTGGGGGAGGGAGGGAGGGGCAGTGGTCTGATTTTTCCAAACGCCTCTCAGAGGGCCAAATTTCGCCCGCCCGCCACCAGGCGTCCATGTTGCCGGACGGCGGACCAGAGGTTGTCAGGCGCAGTGTTCGAATGGTCTTTGAACCTCATCTCTCTGTGACCTCAGGATGGTTTTGCCTGCGGGTGCGGGACCTAGCCTTGATTTTGTGTAGGGCTCCTTTCTCAAGATGCGACCCTTCCCTTCATTTCACATGGTTGTTCCCGATCTTTGCAAGCTTTCATTTATTGATTCCCGAAAGTAAGGCCCGTGGTATAGACTTTTCGAGCAGACCCAAAGCTAAACCAGCCATGGGTCCGCTACTTTAGCAGCCAAAGATTTGCTTACGCCGAACTTGGACTGCGTTACGGGTGATCAAACTCCCTGAAGCAGCCCTGTGGGCAAGTGGCTGTGAGATGCGCGTCAACGACGTCTGCATGGGTGCTATGATGGAGATAGGTGGTGGGCACCTTTATGGAAGTCAATTTGAAGTCTCCCGACACGGTGACCAAATCCCACATGCCAAGGCACTGCGGGCTACATCATCGGCCGAGGTGGTGAGGCGGCTGGAAGTGGATCATACAAGCACTGTGGACAATTCAGACTTCTGGTGTGGGATTTTGGGGGGAATAGCTTCAGACAAACCCAACAGAACCGTGTTTGACAAGAAAGAGTGGCTGCCTGACTGACGGGCGGTTTGAACCTTTTCCGACTCGCCCGGCTAAGGCCATCAAGGAGCTCCGCCGCAGCTCGGAGGCGGACGTGGGCCTGGAACGCGACGGCCCAGGCGCGAGACATGGCAGTAACCATCTGAATGGGGCAAAATATGGTTGTTTAAACACCACTGATACAAGGGAAGACACATCACAACAGTGGTTTAAACATGTCTCCCTATTATCCACGACAGGTTTTTGGGTGACCATGACAGGTTTGGAGTGGCCACGCTAGACCTTTTTTTCAGTGTCCACGTGCCCTGACGCGCCGACCACGCAAATGGCCATTTGTGCCATGGCCGCAACTTGGGGATGGTCAGCAACTCAGCAGAGAATTTACACATTTGTTGTAAAGGAAACCACGACCGTAGCCCCACCGAAGGAGTTGACGAGATTTTGATAACGAGTGGTGTTCCCGCCTTTGGGAGATTTGCACAGCATTCCCTTGCAAGGGGCGGCTCAGGTTTTGAGACCTACTGTTTCTCAGGTTGCCCAGCGGACCTTGGCTTTTGCCGTAGGTGTTTGCATCTCCAAGCCTCCTGTGGTTAGCAAGAGTCCTCCCCACCGAATTGCTCCTCTTTTGGCGCCGGCCGAGCAAGGCTCAATCGACCTATTGGACCCTTTTGAGGGGGGGAGGGTTCCAGTGGACAACTGCCCACCGCGGGCAGGCAGCCAGTTGCTAACTATCCGAGGGACTCAGCAGGCCGGGCCCCATGTGCGTGCCACAGGTGCCCAGCTGAAAACACCCTCTGGCTTGTGTGAATTAGGGCACCCGTTGTTTGGTAGATTGATGCTTTGATCAAAGATCAGTGACGTTGTGATGTCACATCACGTCGTCACGCTCCATCATGCTCTCAGCAATGCCTAGCCCACATGGTTTCATGCACGTGTTCAAATACCGAACATAGTTCTGCGGTCATACCGATGAAGCGCGGCCTTTATTTGCAACAGTGTTTCCATGTGCATTGCATCACCTTTGTCGAGCGCAGTTGTTCGTAGCGTAGGATCACTGACTGTCAGGGCGATGTTTGACCAGCTTTCGCAGCGTGACACTTTGGTTTGGAACACACTTCCAGACAATCCACTTGATTTTGTTTGAGTGCAACTCTCTGACATGCGGCGACCCCTTTTTTCACGCTGCGCGTTGATTTTGCGCATTTCTGGGTTTGGGATATTTTTGACTTGTTGCATCACACCTCAGGAGGCCCCAGACGACATTCTGATTTCTCCTATAGAGCTTGCACTTGATTTTCGCAGATTCTGTCCCATTCTCCAGGTGCCGCAGCCTCCATGCGTGCCTGTACACAACTCTTATACATGAGGATTTGTGCCAGACTTCTTGACTTGCATATTTTTGTTTGTTCAGAAACTGGAATCATGTAGTACGGCTGGTCGCATGTTGGGAGCACAGACTCTTCTTCTTTCCGAGACTGATTTGTGCACCAACCGGAATCTGGGATATGGATGAGTGGGCCTCCTTTTTCGGACCCGGCTTTTCCGCCGATTGACGGAGTCGCTCCCTGGCTCTTCAGGCCATGACACTCGCAGCGCAGCTTGTGGCAGCACGGCTGGCAGAAGCCCGGAGCCTTGCTGTTCTACTACTTCTGTCGGTTGGGAGCTTCTTGTGCAATCAATCAATCAATCAATCAATCAATCAATCAATCAGTCAGTCAGTCAGTCAGTCAGTCAGTCAGTCAGTCAGTCAGTCAGTCAGTCAGTCAGTCAGTCAGTCAGTCAATCAATCAATCAATCAATCAATCAATCAATCAATCAATCAATCAATCAATCAATCAATCAATCAATCAATCAATCAATCAATCAATCAATCAATCAATCAATCAATCAATCAATCAATCAATCAATCAATCAATCAATCAATCAATCAATCAATCAATCAATCAATCAATCAATCAATCAATCAATCAATCAATCAATCAATCAATCAATCAATCAATCAATCAATCAATCAATCAATCAATCAATCAATCAATCAATCAATCAATCAATCAATCAATCAATCAACCATACGCCTGCCCTGCAACATTCTTCTTACGAGGTTGGGGACATATTCCGGCATTGCAGCCTTTTCAGAATACATTCTTCTAACGAGATTGCATATGCACCATGCATTTGCAGCCTTTTCAGCTGGATCAGCTCTCAATTCGATTGCCACTGCTACATAGAGCCTCGACCTTAGTGTTGCGTTGACAGCAGGTGGGCAATGGGTTCCCTGTTTTGACTGAGGTATGGCATCCGTGAACCTCACGATCAAGCCAGTCCAGGTGAGACTTGCTTTTCAGAGGATTGCCTCTTTGGTCTCGGCTCGGGTTTGCTGGCACGTTAGGCGCCGCCTGGCGCAAATGCGGCGGAATTTCAGATCAGCGTGGACACCTCAGCGACGGTGGAGGAGCTGAAGGAAAAGGTGGGGGCCGTGTTTGGTCTTTTACTTCGTTTCTGCCCCCCCCTGACTGACTGGCAAGCACAGTAGCAACAGCGGCTATCCTACCGCAGCCGAAGACGGGGCGGATGTGCGAGATCTGCCCGACAGGTCTCGCTGCAAGTGAACATCCCGGCGAACAGCATTCGATTGGTTTGCGTGGGTCGGATTTGGCAGGCGAGGGCCACCAGATGACGAGCATATTTTCTCAGCATTCAGCTGTCTGAGGATGCACAGACAGTCGGCTCCTATGAGCCAAAAGACGGGAATGTGGTGCATTGTCTTCACAATCCGTCCGGGACCAAGATGTGGCTGCAGCCCATTCCCGGGTGAAAGAGTAGGGATGGTCACCACTCGTCCACCCGCTTTGTATGGGTTGTTGTAAACGACCGGCGGTGGTAGGGTTACTTTGACTGAGTTCAGTGGCAGAAACGATCATCCCTCAGTGAGGAGTGCTGACCAGATGACACTGAGCCACACAATCGACATGCATTTGAGCACTGCCGGCCGCGCCCAGGGCAAAGGACACTCCCGCACCGACAGAGCAGACTCTGGCCGGAAGCTTAGCTTTCAGGCGACCTCAGCTTTGCACAGGATCCGGTAGAGGAATTGTGGCTGAGCGGGCCCTCTAGTTGAACATGTTTATTTCCCTCAAATATCGGAGATCAGCTGAAGCTCGGGTTTCTTCCTCTGCTGCCAGCCATCGTTCCTTAAGTTATTCAGGTTTGGAGCATTTTTGGTTGCAAGTTGTGCAGCAGACTGCAGACTCATATGAAACCCCGCAACAGGGTCCTCCAAAAGGACATGCTCACTTTAGATCAAACCGGATGTGAACAGAGGTCAATGTCGTTTATCAACAAGTGACCTAATCATTGGTCTGGCCGGCTGAGGGAGACCAGCTGAAACCATCGTTGCAAGAAGTTGTCCCTGCCAGTGGATGCTGGGAATGACCCAAAGTACAAAGCAGTGCAAGCCATTGCTGATGTAGCTTTTGGCCGCGCTTGCTTTCTTACGGGGTGTTTGGGTTCCACGATGTTCCATGATGTTCCACGTGAGTTTTTCAGAGCGGATGGGGATGTGCCCGAGGCGCCAGCCAACCCGGTGACGCAGATGATGGGCGCCGCTGCCCCGCCGGCCAATTCAGGCGCGGCAGCGCGGCAACGCGGCAACGCGACACGTAGACGTGGGGCATCGTCCTTGGGAGGTGGCTTCGGGCCCCGGCCGAGAAAGCCGGGGCTTGCCGGGCTCGTGTGCTGAGATGCTGTTCCGCTAAAAAAGCTGACGGCTTCTAGTACGTCTCCTTCCGAAAAGAGGTTCAGATGTTTGACGTATGGCCCGAGTTTTTGACGTTGCACCACAGGATACATGCACACCTGTGTGGTTTTGCACACAGTTGTTTGTATGTGCAGATGCAAGGGTGTGTTGTTCTTTCTGAGGTGGTTTCGGTGTTGGCGTACATCATTGATGCGGGTTGTGTTGGCAGGGGCCAGTCAATCAACATGACTTCTAGTTGCTGGTGGATCCATCATCCAGAGTTTCGATGTCGCCATCCTGTACCTGTCAGGTGATCCATTCTCTCAGATGATGGCTTTCCTCTTAGTGTTTTTGCTCGGTCGGACCAGGCTTCCAGCACGTTCCCCATGTAAGCTGTGACTTAGTGGATCCATTGAGGCACAGACGCAGCAGCAGATGATGCAGAATCCAGAGATGATGTCATGGCCTTTGTGAAACTGCACCCCCAAGTGAGCTATAGCCAAGCTACTTTGGCCTTGGAGAGACAGAGGATGTCTTTTTAGAAACATTCTCCTCCAATTTCATTGCTTTCACGATGGGCACAGGTGTCAAGCTTCCGAATTCGCAAGGCAGCAGCTGATGAGCTCACCCATGGTGCAGCAGATGATGAACAACCCGGAGGTGTTGAGGCTCGCTGTGTCGAAGCGCAGAAGCATGGCGCTGTGCAAGCGCGCAGAGGCACTGACACCTTTGCACTGTCCTATGTCTCTTGCATGTTTTATGTTCTGTGTGCAAGCAGCAAACTGTCAATCTCTAAAAACTCAGAGAATGATGGCTGCCATGTTCGGTTTGGCCGGGTGCTGACCCCGGTAAAGGTGCCAGGTTTCGATCGGCGGCTTCGCAGGGCAATGGTGCGCATGAACCCCCAGCTGAATGAGCTCATGGAACAGAGACCAGAGCCACTGGGCAAAGCATGCTCCGCTTCTCCCATCCGCTTTTGGTAGATTCACCTTGTTGAGATGTGGGACGAACATTTTTCAGATGTTTTGGTCGAGGTGGCTTTTGTGGTCACTTGATTTAGAGAGTTGACCAACCATGCCAACCGAGGATCGCGCGCATGCTGGAAGACCCCGAGGCCTTGCTTTGGTGAGTTTTTTGGAGCCCAGAGCTGCCTTCAGAGCACATCAGCATGTCGCCGTTCTGAGCCATCAATCTTGGGCTGTCCAGGAGTGAGCTGTTTGGTGCTAGGGAGATGCTATGTTTGCCCTTTACCCCTCTGTTGACACGGGCTCATTTGCGTGCTTTTCTTGAAGGGCACTCCTTTTAGACACGTGCACACACACACACACCCAGACACTTGCTTTCAAGCGGCCAGTTGTTGCAGCAGTCCCTGCGCATGGTGGCCAACCCTTCGCTGATGCGAGAAATGACCAGGACACTGCGTTCAGCGCCTGACTGTGCTAGCATCACCCGAGAAAACCACCTAGACAATTTTGATCGACAAATGAAACTTTAGAGCCTCCGGCTCAGTCCGCCGACATTGTCCTCTCCCTTTTCTCCTTCTTCCTCTCTCCCTTGTCTCCCTGGTGTGTTCTGTCGTCCTCTCTCCCTCCCTCCGCTCCCCATCCTCCCCATCCCCCCAAGCCACTCTCTCCCCAATCTCCCTCTCTCGCATGTATGTAAATGTAATGTAATGTAATGTAATGTAATGTAATGTAATGTAATGTAATGTAAGGTAATAATGTAATGTAATGTAATGTAATGTAATGTAATGTAATGTAATGTAAGGTGTAATGTATGTATGTATGTATGTATGTATGTATGTATGTATGTATGTATGTATGTATGTATGTATGTATGTATGTAATGTATGTAATGTATGTATGTATGTATGTATGTATGTATGTATGTATGTATGTATGTATGTATGTATGTATGTATGTATGTATGTATGTATGTATGTATGTATGTATGTATGTATGTATGTATGTATGTATGTATGTATGTATGTATGTATGTATGTATGTATGTATGTATGTATGTATGTATGTATGTATGTATGTATGTATGTATGTATGTATGTATGTATGTATGTATGTATGTATGTATGTATGTATGTATGTATGTATGTATGTATGTATGTATGTATGTATGCATGTATGTATGTATGTATGTATGTAATGTAATGTAATGTAATGTAATGTAATGTAATGTAATGTAATGTAACGTAACGTAACGTAACGTAACGTAACGTAACGTAACGTAATGTAATGTAATGTAATGTAATGTAATGTAATGTAATGTAAATGTAATGTAATGTAATGTAATGTAATGTATGTATGTATGTCTGTATGTCTGTCTGTATGTATGTCTGTATGTATGTATGTATGTATCCTTGCACTTCCCCTTTGCTCCCCAGTATTTCCCGCAAAAAACACTGTTTTTCCAGCGTTTTCGCAAAGAGGATGTCCAAAAACACAGAGTTTTTCCAGATTTTCGGCAAAAGGATGCAGGAAGCCCAAGCCAGCAAAAAAGCCGGCAGGGGGAATCGAGCCTGGGACCCCTGTTTTGCGACACCGGGTCCCCGAAGACTACGTTTAGTGGAACGTCATCAAATTGCCGCGCGGTCCTTGGGGGGGGGGGTTATCCTCTATCCTCTCTTAGGTGTCCGACACGCCGAGCAATGTCGGCGGATTCGATTGGAAAGTCTGTTGCGTGGGCAATCTCATTGAGTGAAGTGAGGGGAGCCCGAGGAATGCCGACCGAGCTCTTGGCCAGTTGGATGCCATGCCCGGAGGGCACAATGCGCTGGCAGCAGCCTCACCCCGCGCTTTGTCTCGGCCATGGCCTGGCGTGTTTCGCTCAGGTCCGGGCGCACGAGGAGTTCGCGGATCCCCTCTTCGAAGC